AATGGTAGGTCATCAATTTCATTCAGGATATTAGTAAGTGTGTCATATACTTCAGATTTGTGGTCTTCGTCGGACATGTTGAAGTCAAAATAACGACCTAAGTAGCGAAATGATTTACCAAGTTCAACACGTGGTACAAGACAGTTATTTACAAATAGTTTTTGGAGATATTGAATGGATTTGGTTAATTGTTTCCTAATGCCAAATGTTGAACATTTGTCTACACGTATTATCATTTCAGCCCACTGACACCAGATTGTAAAGCGATTGAGGAGCATTTGGTTTTCTTTTTCTTGGCCGCTAACAACAGCCGCGTCGTCGGCAAATTGGAACCAATAAAGAGGATTTAATGGGGTACCGTTTTTGCTGGATTTCCAAAATCCAAGTTGACGGTATTTTTCCGATTTAATATGTTGGATAAAGGTATTGAAAGACATGTTGAATAAAAGAGGACTGAGACAATCGCTTGAAGGACGTCACGACCGACTGTAATGAAGGAAGTATTGAACTGTTCAGTTATTATGGAAGTTTGGAAATCAGTATAAAGGCTACTGACAAGATTCTTTATGTGATCGGGAATGTGGTGATATTCAAGGACTTCATAAATAAGGTTATGATGGACTTCGCCGAATGCATTTTTGAGATCTAATAGTGTTATTATAAGTGATCGTTGTTTTACTTGCGCTTTATTAATGATATGTGCCAACTGTGCTGTGTGTTCTAGTGTTCCTGAGAGTTTTGGAGTGAAACCTTTCGGTATGTTCTGTTCAATGTAATTGTTTTCAGCAAGAAACTGAAATGTCCTGTTGCGAAGACATGATGTGAAAACTTTGAGTGGGACATATTCGAGAGTAATGGGTCGAAAGTTCGCGGGGTTTGCTGTTTCTCCTTTCTTATGAATTAGAATCGTGCATGCTTTCTTCCATTCAGATGGGACAACACCGCAAGACCAAGCTGCGTGGATTATTTCAGTTAAGTACGAGCGTAAATAAGGACATCGTTTAAAACAGATGACAGATATTTGATCAACTGGACATGGTGAGCCAGACGGTTACATTTTACGGATAACATTTGTAATCTCTTGATAGGTCGGGGGATCAAGATTAAAAGGCGTCTGAGGAGATGCAAATTTTGGGATTCAACTGGGGATGTTGAATGTTTTAGTTTGGCTAATCGCGGACAATGTTATTAAACAATAATAATAACATAACATATTTAATAACATATTTAATAACATATTTAATAACATATTTATAACATATTTTATAATAATAATAATAATTATTATTATTATTATTATTATTATTATTATCATCGTTATTATTATTATTATTATTATTATTATTATTATTATTATTATTATTATTATTATTATTATTATTATTATTATAAAATATATCAGTTGACTGTTGCGGAAAAAATTGCGCTCACATGATGTTCAGCGTAATTATGAAGAAGAATTAAGTAAAGATTTTTGGAAATTTTGTAAAAAAGAGTTTGAAGAATCAGAGACGCAAGAACCAAATTTTGACGAATCGTCCTGCTATGATTATTTTAGAAATATTTTCTTCAAAAAGAATAAAAACTGAACATTCAACCTTCCTTCTTGGCTGAAACCATTTCCAGTGGCATCGAGCAATTTCGACCTGGAATGTCCAACTTGCCAAGAAATAACGAAAATAATTTGGAAAATGAAAAGTAGTGGTTCTCCTTGCCCTATTGACCAGATAAGAATTATTTCTTTTAAACGGTGCCCCATCCTGAGAACACAGCTTTGGAGACTCCTCTCGAAATGCTGGACCGAAAAATATATTCCGACCATCTGGAAACGTGCTGTTGCGGTACTCATTTACAAAAAGGATTCACCTGACAATCCTGCTAATTTTGCCCAATTGTTTTAGAGTCAGTCATGTTGAGAGTTTTTACCTCTGCGATAAGGAACAAAATTTTTAAATTCGTGCGCGACAATAAATATATCGAAACAAACATTCAAAAGGGTTTCTGGCCAGGCTTGTCTGGTACAGTTGAACATACCGAACTGTTAAATTATTTATTAAACCATTCCCGCAACAAGCAGCGGTCTATCATTAATTGTCACTCTAATCGATCTCAAAAATGCATTTGGAGAAGTGCACCATAACCTGATAAAATCTATTTTAAAAAGTCACCACCTTCCTGACGAAATCATTGGTATGATAGAAAACCTTTACACTGATTATGGTATCTCAATCTTGACGAAGAATTTTATAACCATACCGATATCGGTAGAACCCCCTTGCTTTTTAATTTATGCGTGAATTCACCCATTAACACGATAAATGATGAAATGATACAGTGCCTTGGTTATGTTAATAATATATCCTTAAACCCTCGTCATTGGTTCTAATTTGCGGACGATGCTGCAATTATATCTGCACATAACGAAGACAATCAACTACTATGTAATGCATTTAGTAAATGTTCCTCTTGGGTAGATTTATATATCCGAGTAAATAAATGCCACACTTTTGGGATCAAAAAGTTTGGGACAAAAGCAATCCAGTATAAAACTACTATAAAAATCTCTGGTTAACAGGTTCCCCCAATCGAGGACGGTGAAAGTTTTATGTATCTAGGTAAACAATTCAATTTTGAAATGAATTGTACTGAAACCAAAATTGAGATCCTTGATGAAATCCAACACTACTTAAATAAAATTGTTCTTATCCCAATAAATCCTTTTTCCAAAATTCGCGTGGTTCAAAGTTGTGTCTACTCAAAGTTCTTCTGGCGTTTTTCAATCTACCTGCTTACTACAAGCTGGATACATTCTAATCTGGACTCTATAATTTCCAAATATATCCGGAAATGGCTCCAGATCCCAATCAGCGGTAACATTAGCCATCTAAAGCTTCGTAAATTACAACTGGGAATTGATTTCTGTTCCCCCTCTGACATATATAATCAATGTAAACTGACAGTGCGCAAAATTTTGAGGACTTCTATCAACTCCGATATTCAACAGCTATATGCCAAAACGTCATCAAAAAACATCGTCACTGATGATATTATTGAACGGGCGGCTGCTGGTATCTCTGAACAATATATAGAAACGCTGCAAAGAAGATTCTGGGAAAGAAAAATCTTAACGAAATATGGTCAAACTTTGTAGAACTAAAAGAACAATCCGTGATCATTACCTGCTTAACTGATACTTGCTATAAGAAGATGATTAAAGTATGGCACGAAATTGTCACTCGAATGCCCAGTAATATAGTATGCTTTGCTAGGAGAGCGTTAATTTTAAGTTTAGGAAATAATTCTAATCTAAAGCGCTGGAGTTGTGCAACTCACGCCAACTGTGAGTTGTGCAACAAGTTGCAAACTCAGCTACACGTTTTTTCCAACTGCAAGGTAGCCCTAGAACAACAACGCTATACTTGGCGGCATGACTCGATTCTGACGACTATTATTCATCACATAAAATTCGCAGTTGGTGCAGATCTTCGTCTGTTTGCGGACTGTCCTAATTCAGGTACGACGTGTACTTCAACTTTATTTCGAACGCTAAGACCTCATATAGTGGTGGATTTTAAGGGTTCTGTATATGTGGTTGAATTAACTGTTCCCTACGAAACCAATTGTACGAAGGCTAAACGTCGCAAGAAAGAAAGATACAGCTGTAAGATCTGAGCTGATCACGGCGTGTCATGCATGCGTTTGAAGTTACTACACTTGAAGTAACCACTCTAGGTTTTGTGTCGAAAGATATTGACAAATTTCGTAGATTATTACGAACACTTGAAATGAACGACGAACGTATTATTAAAAAATGTATGGAGGTAGCTCTGAGAGCAACATTCTACATTTACTGCAAAAGAAACAAGCCCTGGAATAACCCAGACTTACTGAATTTTAATTAGCTTCTATTGATATAAAGTGTAGAGAATGGACCTATCTGTCTAATATAGTGAACTGTTTCTCTATTTTCCTGCTTTATTTGAAAGTCTAATTATGTGATATTTGTAAAAAAATTATCATATTATTAATAAAGATTTAAAAATTATTATGCAAGTCGATTTCCACCTCTGGAAATCGACTTGTAATTATACTATAACACCCAATAAAAGAAGTAATTAAGTCATTCCGTGAAATTCAAGAAGATAAATTGGAAAATCAGTTAAAATGCCAAGGTTCATTCTTTTCCAGCATCTCAAAATTTTTACTACCCCAAGTAAATTCGATTTGGCCAAGCTGTCAATCCAAACTACCAAAAAATATTTTCAACTTCACTATTCGCTACATAAACAATTCGCTACCAATCCGCAAAAACCTTCAAAGATGGGGACTGTCCTCATCCTCTGAATGCTCGTTTTGCCTTAAACCTGAATCTTTGTTACACGTTGTTGCCGGCTGTAGTTCCTACCTTGATCGTTTTACTTGGAGACACGACTCAATCCTAAATTTGATTGCTACTAACTTCCCATTAGAACATATTCAGACCATTTATGATGACTTACCATCCTTCTCTAATCCCTCCGTTATTACTGGCGATGACTTTTGTCCTGATCTCCTAATTTTGACCAAAGACAATTGTCTATATGTACTCGAACTAACCGTCGGATATGAGACTAACCTAAGGAATAATATACAGCGCAAATACTCAAAATATAAAGAGATGATCTTAGAACAAAAGAAAAAATTCCGGCCGGTAAAGTTCATTAACCTCTCAATCAGTGCACTCGGTGTTTTTGAAAAAGAATCGTCAGACTTTATACAAATGTTGGAACATTTGAACTCAGACTTATCTGAGTAGCCTGTGTTAAATATACCACTAGGAAAATCATTAATATTGCAATAAGAACGACATATTACGTTTTCTGTTCTAGAAACAAGCACTGGTCAAATCCAGGTTTAATGAACTTCTAGTTAATCTGTTACTTTTTGTATCATATAATTATGACCCTCATGTGTTTTGTAAATGTAGTGATGTATAGTGTATCAAGTAGCCAATTGTAAATTACCTTTAACAGTGAGATTTTCAATTGCAAGTGCATAAAAAATTCAATAAAGTTTTCATTATTATTATTATTATTATTATTATTATTATTATTATTATTATTATTATTATTATTATTATTATTATTATTATTATTATTATTATAATTATTATTATTATTATTATTATTATTATTATCAAAAAATAATTCAACCTGACCACAACTCCACTCTATTTGTTGACCTTCCTGGATACAAGAGCCCGTCAATAATAACCGGTGACACTTATCGCCCAGATCTGCTTCTTTCGATTTCAAATGATTGTCTGTACATACTCGAACTCTCTGTCGGATATGAATCCAATCTCCAAAACAACGTCGA